CCCGAAACTCTAGCCAGCCCCAGGACTCCAGGATCACACGCTATTTGATTTTCATACACAAAAGTGTGATTACATCGGCTCTCCTTCCTGCATCACTTTGACTCGCCGACATGCAATTTGGACAATCATGAAGCAGCCAACCCAATCATGCGATGCCTCATGAAGGTCGCAAAGTGATGGGTTGTTGCATACACACACGAACAGACAGCCTCGCGACTCTGGCCAGAAGAGGAGCGAGCCAGTCGGTGGAGACTAACAAGACACAGAACATCGTGAATGAGCGTATGAAACCGGATTGCGATGGTGCAGCGTATGATCACACAATCGTATGAATGCATCTTCTGTCTTCACTCAATTGCACATCGACTCGCTTGCAAACAGTCATCCTCGTCCCGGCACAAGTCGACTGCACCCTCGACTTCGTTCGAGTCCGCGCGGGATTCGAACTCGCATTTCGGTTGGGCAGCATTTCATCTTGACACGCTGCGGCCGGTTCGCGCGGCCTCGCAACAACAGTCCTGTCCGACCCGGACGAGAGCAGCGGATTCTGTGTCAAACGGAACGAAACGCCAAGTTACTCATCAGATTGTGGGAAAACGCAAACACCAGTCGCCATATCAACTAAACACGAAATGCTGTGCACAAATCTCGTGTCTGCGATCTGTTGGTAGTCTCGGAAACCCGGTTATAAACACAAAAAATGACTGACTGACTGACTGTCGGACCGATCGAGCCGGGCCACTGTCGATTCCGGCCAAAAGGTCCGTCCTTCTGGATCTGGACCGAACAGCCGGACCTCTCATCCGCTGGTTCGCCCGCTGGCAACAGAAGCTATTTGGGGGTGGGGAGGGTGGGAGAGGATTTATCGCTTTTCTCTGCTTCCCCGAATCTCGATGCACCACCGCACCATCTCCGTTTCTCTCTCTCTCTCTCTCTCTCTGTCTCTCTCTCTTTTTTTTCTCTCAGACACAATCGCATTCAAATACACGCAGTTTCACAGTCTGACTGTCCGTCATGTGCAGCCTGACAAGATTGTGATGGAAAGCCTCTGTCGCCTTGACGACACGGACATCTGATTTATCTCATCCCACGCGCTTCCGGGCCAAAGCGCGATAACTGCTGGCCTGGCAGCAGGTGCACTGGACATTTGGTAGATCCAGCCACCAGTTTCGTCGGACTATTTCTGGCAGAAAAGGGGTCTTTGTGAGTCTGTTTGGCCGATCTTGACGATCGGCCTCTTTTCAGCAAATTACAGTCTGGTCGGAATGGCTCATTGTTTGGGACTCGAACGGTCTGACTATGAAACCGAGGCGACGAGTGCGTGTCCGCGGACGCCTGACCGCAGTTGCACGAGGCCGCTCGGTTTCCGCTTCACTCCTCGCTTCTCCGACTGCTCCCACTTTTCATCGACACCAAATGAGCTGACCGAGGAAGGACATTCGCAAGAAATCGGATGAGGAGAACCCCCGCAACCTCTTCTCCACCACGGACAAGATCTCCTCTGACCTATTCTGATCTGATCT